GAAGCTCCAGCACTTCCGGAGCACTTGGAAGAGTCTAGACAGGGAAACCTATTCCTTCACTAGGAGGTGATGGGGTCTTACAACTTCACACAGTAAGTGCTTAAAGGAATGTGTTGTTTCTCTGACACATTACATTAGGAAATGTTTATTAAAAATTTAGAAAGAGTTTATAATACAAAGCTTCCCCTGCCCTCCCCTTGTCCTGGTCCTGTTTCCCAGAGGCAATCACTCTTACAATTTGATTTTAGTTCTTTTGGCATTTACTATACATATCTTTGAATATATACTGCTCCTAATACTATTTCTTCATGTATCAATTATAGACATTATTTAGGTCCTACAATGACAGATTAGGATTTAGCTCAAGAGAATTATAGTTATTTTTCTGCCTCTACCAGTTACCTTTGCACCTATAAATAACATACTTAAACTTCTATGTCCTGTTTCTTCATCTCTTGACTCCCACACTGTAAGACTGAGATGTTACAGATACAATCCTTCCTGCTGCTTTTCTTCCTCCATGACCCTGCTGGGCACAACCTCCTATGCCTTATAGAACGTAGTAATTCTAACTCTTTTTTAGCATGTCATACAGGGTCCTTTATGATCTAGACTCAGCCTGCTTTTGTCAATCTCCTGTCATTATCCACTTTAGTTATACACAGTCTTACTAAGCCATATACTTAGAGTTTTTGTAAACTTCTGCATGCTCTAGTATTTTTTTTTAATTAAAAAAATTTTTTTTTGGTAATAACTGAAAACTTCCCCAATTTGGGAAAGGAAACAGTCACTCAAGTCCAGAAAGCATAGAGAGTCCCACACAGGATCAACCCAAAGAGGAACACACCAAGGCACATAGTCATCAAATTGACAAAAATTAATGATAAGGAGAAAATATTAAAATTAGCAAGAGAAAAGCAACAAATAACATATAAGAGAATTCCTATAAGGTTATCAGTTGATTTTTTAGGAGAAACTCTACAGACCAGAAGGGAGTGGCAAGATACATTAAAAGTGATGAAAGGGAAAAACCTACAACCAAGAATACTCTATCCAGCAAGGCTCTCACTCGGATTTGATGGAGAAATCAAAAGCTTCACAGATAAACAAAAGATAAAAGAATTCAGCATCACCAAACCAGCTTTACAACAAGTGTTAAAAGAACTTCTCTACTCATCAAACCGTAAGAAAAGAGAACAAAAAGAAGGAAGAGAAAAAAAAAAAAGACCTATAAAAGATTGTGTTGGCAGTTTGGGGTCTTTTATGGTTCCATATAAATTTTGGAATTATTTGTTCTAGTTCTGTGAAAAATGTTGTGAATACTTTGAGAGAGATTGCATTGGATCTGTAGATTGCTTTGTGTAGTACAGACATTTTGATAGTGTTGCTTTTTCCAATCCAGAAACACAAGATATCTTTCCATTTCTTTGTATCATCTTCAATTTCCTTCATCAATGTTTTACAGTTTTCAGAGTGTAAGTAACCTCCTTGTTTAAGTTTGTTTCTAGGTATTTTGTTCTTTTTGATGCAATGGAAATGTTTATGCCAGTTATAAAATTCTAGTTTTTGAAGTGGGAAAAAGAAGTGAATGAAGGGCTGCAAATGGTAAAGTATTTTTCTTTCTTATGGGTGAGTTGTATTCCATTACATATATATGCTGCATCTTCTTTATCCATTCATCTATTGATGTGCACTTACGATGCTTCCATATCTTGGCAATTATAAATAAAGCTGCTATTAATAGTGCGTTGTATGTATCTTTTTGAATTAATTCTTATTTTGTGGTTGTCTTTATTCCTTTGATAACTATGTAAGTTT